ACAGTTGGAGTCCTATACCCAAGATTAATTCGACTAATATGTTCTTGACTTTTATTTTATCAACATATAGTTGGGTTTATTTTCCATATGCATGTAGTTTTAGGGTTTACATTTTAATTTTATTTAGCAACTAAAACACGAACATGTCTCAGTCTCTGTAATTTTTTTTTTTTTTTTTTTTGAGTCTGTCCTGTATCTAGCTCTTGTAAACCAGGCTGGCTTGAACTCAGGTCCCCCTGCCTCTGCCTTCACCTCCCAAGTGCTGTGATTAAAGGCATGTACCACCAACGCCCAGCTCATAACTGGTATTTTTAGGAGATGCAGTCTCACAGCAAACTCGCCGTTCCTCTGGCTCTTATGCTTCCTCTTCCTCTTCTGCCGCAGTCCCTGATTCTTAGATGTAGGAATTGTGTTTTAGTCTATCACCTGGGGCTGGTCACCCTGTAATCATTAGTTCTCTGCAGCTTAACCGTTTACGGGTTTCTGTAATGGTCGTCATCTGTTGCAAAGAGAAATTGCTTGGACAGAAGCTACATTTATTTGTGTTAGGGAACTATTTCAACTGTAGTTGGGAATTATGCTGGGTTACCAAGTCCTTTACCCTGCCTGTTCCTCCACTGCTGAAAGTCAGCTGCTCTATTCACTCTGGTTGTTGTTTTGAGGTAATAAAGTGGAGTGGGTTTTTAAAAGAAAATATTTCATTGTGTGTGTGTGAACTGTGTGCCACAGGAGTTTATCTATGGAGGGCCAAGAACTAGGCTTCCTTATCACTACTTAGAAAGGCAGGAGGGTCATGACTGAGACCTGTCCCAACAAGGAATGCCTTAAGCACTGTGTTGTTGCTTGTTGCAAGTAAGTGTGTATGTACCCAGATACTCTGTAGGAACAATTGACTTGTGATCCTTTTGGAGAAGAGAAGCTGAGGGCGGGGAAATTGCAGAGGACCCAGTTACAATTTGTGTCATACAGCCATGCGTAACTCAGTTCCCAGCCCTCATCTGACCTCCCTGGGTACCGGGCACACATGGTACATGTTGATATGTGCAGGCAAAATAAATGGTCATACACAAATTACAATTTTAAAAATACATGTTTATTTGTTGTATTTTATGTGTGGCTATATGTGCCTCGGCGACCATGTGTGTACCAGATGTGTTCAGTAATAGCACAGGTCAGAAGAGAGCAGCAGACCCCTAGAAAGGAGCTGCAGGCAGTTGTGAGCCACTGTGTGGGTGCTGGGAACTGGGCCTGGATTCTGAACTGAAAGTGCTTAACTGCTGAGCCATCTCTCTGGCCCCAGTTTTTAAATCTTTTTGTGTGTGTGTGTGAATGTCTGCCCGCCAGAAGAGGGTGCCAGATCTCATGGATGTTTGTGAGCCACCATGTTACTGTTGGGAATTGAACTCAGGACCTCTGGATGAGCAGCCAGTGCTCTTAACCTCTGAGCCATCTCTCCCGCCCCTATAAGTTATTACAGTTTACTTCTTCCAGTTATGTCAGCAAGTTTAGAGTTGCTTGTTGTCTAGCCTGACCTGAGTTTAATCCCTGCACCCGTATGCCTACTGCTGCATGTTGTCTTTTGACACACATAGGCATATGTGTGCATGCCTGAGCCCTTCTGTACAAAGTAAATGTAAAATTTAAAAAGTGAGTCAGTTCGTTACTTGAAAGACATTTTTCACTAACAATGAACATTGATGAGTTTTATATCTATGTGCCCTGGAGGACAGAAACATACCAGGAAGTATGTTTGGACTGACCATCAGAACCTGAATTACTAGTGATACCCACCAGGGCATTTGTGTCTCAATACCAGTGAGTGGTTTTGTAGTAAACTTTATTTCCTGTTAGCATCTTTTAAGGGGGAAAAAAAGAAACCCCAGTGTAATCAAAAGAGTTTATTGAGCAGCAAGCAAGTAAATATTTTTTAAAATATAATTCATTTTTTTCCTGCATCTATTAAAAGTAATACTAAGTTGTATAGTATTTTAATATAGTTGTTACAGGCGCTCAGGATACTGGCACAGGAAGATGGCTTGATCCCAGAAGTTTGAAGCCAGCCTAGGCAGTACAGTGAGACTCCCAGCAAAAGGACAGTGTTTTCCTTGCTGTCTGGCTGGAAGCCTTCTGTAGCAAGCAGCTGGAGGTGTAAGGTCCTGTACACAGGGAAATGTGGCCTCTTCTCTAGCCCATCAGATAAGTCACACATTTTGAGCCTTTTGGAAAATGATCTGATGTGTGACACTAAGTTACGTAGAGTAAGGGCATCACAGCACAGAGTCAGTACATTTCTGTTTCGTGTATTTTTGCAAAGACAGAAAGTTTTGACTCAAATATTTAAAAAAAAAAAAAGGCTGGCGAGATGGCTCAGCGGTTAAGAGCATTGCCTGCTCTTCCGAAGGTCCTGAGTTCAATTCCCAGCAACCACATGGTGGCTCACAACCATCTGTAATGAGATCTGGTGTCCTCTTCTGGCCTGCAGGCTTAATAAATAAATAAATATTTAAAAAAAAGTTTTGACTCTTTCCTAGTATAACTTTAGAAAATAATTCTCATAAAATATTCAAAAGACAATATTTTTCTGTTCAGTAGTGTAGTTCAGAAGCAAGCTAAATAGAATGCCAAAA